ATATGGGATTATAAAATTGGTTTTAGACCAAATTGCCCTTAGAGAAATTACAAAGCAATTTAAGGGCGATTTAATCTAGTTTAAGGTCCTTTATTTGGAAAATTCTAAATAAATATTGGAAAGGAGAATAAAATCCCAAAAAATTCCTATGATATCCTAAGAAATTATAAGAGATTATGGAATTAAAAGTAGACCCTCAAGAATCCAAGATTTTTCCCAATTCCTCTGAAAAGTGGAAAAATCACTAAAGAGAAGGAAATTAGTTTTCCTTTTTATTTAATTATTGATAAATTAAATTTGAGACAAATAGGGCAATTTGGGAAGATAAAAATAAGGAGAATAATTTAAGGATCTGACAAAAAATAATTGCAGAAGCCAAGGCACTGTAATTATATAAAAGAAATCAAACTTGGAGTAAAAGTGCACCGATAAAGTGAAGACTAGAGTCTTGCACTTTACTTGGCCCACAAGTCACCACTTGTCAAGCTTCTAATAGATGGTAATTAAAGCTTTCCAAGTATCAAGCATTAAGTGGAGAGGATCTTGACTTTGGAATTTAATTACATTATGATTTACTTAATTAAGAGAGAAATTTCAAGACTAAGTAGGAAGGTGACACTTGGTGTAACATCCCAAAATTTAGAACCCTAATAATGGGACTGTGCAAAATGAGATATGATTGATAAGCATAAGGTATGAGTAAAACATGAAAACCCAAAATGGGACGAAACCGACTTTATCGGGTCCCTAGGGGCAAAACGGTAATTTTGGAAAAAGTTTCCAAAAATTACTTAAAAATAGAAAAAAATGGAATTAGAGGTTTTTGAGTCACACATGATGTTTTGGGAGTGAGAATAGCCCAAAATAAATTTTGGTGAAAATTCCCAAAAAATTAATTATTTTTGGGAAAATAGGGAAAAATAAAGGGAAATTAAAGTAATAAAATTATTTTAATTACCTAAGGACTCCAACAATCCAAGGAAAAATATGGATACACTCCCTAGGAATATATATGAATTTATAAAATTGTTTCCAAGTATTCAAAATACAGGAAATACTTTATGGGGAATTTATTTCCGAATTCCTATCGGTAAGGACCCCATTTCGGAGAAAATGTGAAATAAATATCTAGAGGTCTTGAAAAATTCCAAAAACTTCCAGATCACACTCTTGGAATAAATAGGGAATTATCATGAAAAGAAATGGAATTTTTGAAGCCCCTAGCTATTTTTCCTAGTAGAGGGCAAGAAATCGGGTATTGTGTGACCGAATGAATTTTTAAATTACCCTAACTAATTCCATTGCTTCCTAACCAGTTTTTACCATTTAGTTAGCATCCAACAAGGCCCAAATTCGTGCTCACCATGATCAGAACAGCTGGCTTGTGTGCTGGGCAAATTTTCAACCATTGGATCAACTCTCTTGGAAAGTGAGTCAAAGCATGTGTGGCTAGGATTTGTTCTTCATTTTGGCCGACCTTTGCACTTATTTTGGGGCAGAAATAGCTGCCCAAGGGCAGGTTTTTGGGCAGCAAATGAGCTCTATAAATACCCCCACAAGGCACTCAAAATTCGGACAGAATTGGGACAATAGAGGGGAGGTTCTGCACAATTTTCTTCTTGGCTTCCAAACACTCCTCAAATCACCTCCAATCCAAGGTTAATCATCAAGCTTTAATCCAAGACTCCTTGAGGTATGTTTAGGCTTTAATTTGATGCTTTTTCCATGGTCAAACCGTGACTTAATTTGAGGGGGAAGTGCTGTTTCATTTCTGTTGTGCTGGAAGTGCTAGGAAAGGATAGGAAATTGAGTATGAGTTGTGTTGTTGATGTTTGGTGCGGTTTTGAATAGGTTATGGAAGAAATTACCTATGAACTATGACTTTTCAGTTCAGCCAACTCAAGAACTCAAGGGTAGGAATTGTTTCAATAAGTTTTAATGGTCCCAATGGATTTAAAATGTGATGGTATGTAGGATTATGCTAAGGAAGTGTGTTCAAATTCATTGGAATCAAACATGAAAATTTATGAACCTAATAGGAAGTGTTCAGCCATCTTGAATATATGGAATTATGATTGGATTTTGATGGTTTTGATGCTTCCATTGAACTCCTTGGGCGTTTTTGTGTAGGGTTATATGGAGGAATTGAATTTGGAAGCATTAAAAATCAAAGTTGGAAATTTTGACATTTTTCCTTGGAAAATTCGTTTCTGTTTTGACCAGAACATAAGGAAGGGATTTGATTTTGTAAAATTTGATTTGATATTTGAATTCTACATGAAAAACCATGTAGGAATGGCCAAGGAGGTTTCTTGAATCAAAAGGAAAACAATTAGGCCAAAAATCCCAAGAAAGAAGGGTTTAATGTTTAAGTAATAGGGAATGTGTTTGAATAATTGTGGAATGATTGGCATTGGTGTTGGTTTGATAGGTACCTTGCCAAATCCTCAAGAAAACATCTTGAACTTAAAGGAAATCAAGGACCAAGTACCAAAAGGTAGCATTGAATTACACTTTGATTGTTTTCTTGCTTACATTGATGTGTTAATGTGAATGTGTGCAATGTATGCCATGATGTGACTAAGTTTATTGCAAATGTTGATTGCAATGTTTGAATTATGTTGCCTTGGCATTATGTCCATTGAATATGTGTATGATAGCTTACTTTCCATGGCATAAAAGCATGAACATATGAACAAGATATCTGCACAAAAGCATTGCATGTAGTGTTTGCAGGAATGCATGATAATTGTGATTCTGTGCTACTGGGATTTCTTTGAAATCTCACTCTTATGTTTAACACCACTTAGGAGGGAGTTCAAGCAAGGGAAAAGGCAAAGAAATTGTCCCGGAGACCTAATGAACAATTAATGTACCCTAGTGTAAATTTTTGGAACTTGTTATGTAATATTATGACTTTGGAAATGTTTGTTGCATAATAGCTCCTAAGGGGAGCCAAGCATGTATGTCTATGTTTAAACATGTGAAAGCCTAGTAGAATGTATGTTCAAGCTTGTATTAAGCCTCAAATAATTAAGGATGGGTAAAAGGTTATGAAAGAGTCATTACAAAGGTAATTAGGGGATAACATTTGACTAAAAAGGACCAAACTTGGTGCATAGGAAATAAATAGCAAATGTTCGAATATGGATTTGAAATTTGGCAGACTAATAGATCATATTTTTTTATCTTTAAATCAAGTGGTAGATCATTAAATTTGGAATTTTGTAGAAAGAGTTATGCCCTTTCGAAGTTGGATAAAAATACTGGGAATTTCAGAATTTTCTAAATGAACAGTACATAATTGCGTGGAAACTAGCATTGATCTGTGAGAAATTGATACCTGTGAACATTTTTCCTATGTAGAGCATTCATAAGCTTTGTGTGAGACTTGGAACCACTCTGTTCCGATTTTTCTACATTTAGTTATGATTTTTCAAAGTTGACCTGATTTTTAAGGGTTACATGAATAGTAACCGAAATCAAAATTTTAAATCTTGGTTTTTACCTACTTTGAGCATCGTGTAACGATTCCAAATAGTTCTAAAGGACGTATAATGGGGTTTAAAATGAAGGTGTGACATTTTTGGTATCAGAGCAAAGGTTCTGGACTATCTTTTATATGTATTGTTCGATAAGGTAATGCATTAGGATAATGCATATTTGATTGTGTGTGATGTGTTATGTCGTGAAAGGTGTGCATTGGACTAACCTTGATAGGATATGGCTTGTTGTGAGCATGATTCTCCTGGGGGTACAGTTGATCAGAGAGGACCAGGGGAACCATACCCGGACTGGTATCACCCATATGTTTCTGACCCTGATGACCCGACTCCACCACCCGAATATTATCAGCCTCTCTGGGAGGTAGAGGATATAATTCCCGAGGTAGACTCCAACGGTAGTAAAAGGTTAGAGGATGATGAAGCTGGGAGTGCTATGGGGCTTAAACTTAACCCGGACAAAGCCGGCCCTAGTGGGACGAAGCCACAACCTATCAGAGTAGTGCGCCGTGATCAGATCTTAGAGAAGGACCTGCCTCCGAAGAAGAGGCAACGGTTAGTCACAAAGGAGCTGCACACCTATCAGGCTATTTTTAAGGAGCTCTGTAAGCTGGGGAGGCAGATTGACATCTCCCAGAACCAGTATGGGTACATTTACATGGGCTATTTTTACTACGTACGACTGTTACATAGTGATGTCGCTGACCAGGACAAGGGAGAGATAGATGAGGAGATGTGGGGACAGGCCTTAGTCGACACTTTACCAAGGACCCCTGTTTGGCAGGATCAGATCCAGTTGATTAGTGACCATTCCAAGCAAGACGCCTATGGAAGCTTTGATCAGATCTTGGACGAACTTGAGCTTTTTGTTACTTCTTATTTTCCTTTCTCTCCCCTATCTTGAGTGGATGACTGTATATGTGACTTAGATGATCTATGTTTTGGATGATTATACCTGAAACCTATCTATGTACAAATATGAAGCATAGCTTAGTATAAAATATTTTGATAACCAAGTAATAATCTTATTCCTCTGTTCCTCTTGTAGTAAAAAGTTAAGTAAAATGGTGAGAACCCGAAGAGAAACACAACCAAGGGAGGCAGCAAGGGAACCTCCTATTGACCTGATTCAATTGTTATGGACCGACTGGAGGAACAGCAGAAGGTGATGCAAGAAATTCAGGCAGCCCAAGCCCGCCAAAACCAGGAACGCGATGCTGCCATAACAGCCGCAGTGACAGCAGCTATAGCACAGCTGCAACAGCCCGGGCCAAGCGTGGCCAAGCACCACAGCCAGCTCAACCTCAAGAGCCGGTAGCTGAGCAGATACGACCTGCAGGGGATCCTGATTCACTAAGACAGTGGATCAAACGATTCAGTGCACAGAATCCCCCGAGTTTCACAGGGACATTGAATGTCCAAGTGGCTGAGGACTGGATTACTCGGCTAGAGAAGATTTTTAATGTGCTTGAATGTTCTTATGAGAGAAAAGCTCAGATGGCTATCTACAAACTGGAGGGTGAAGCTAATCGCTGGTGGAAGAACACCGAGATGATCCTCCAGGAGAATGCAACCCCTATTACCTGGGAAGTGTTCAAGGAACACTTTAATTTGAAATACTTCCCACAGTCAGTAAGAGACGAAAAAGAGGTGGAATTTCTGATGATTCAACAAGGTCCTCGAGAGTCCTTCGATGAGTACCTAGACAGGTACATGAGGCTCTCTCATTACTCTAACTACCTCCAACTCCGCAATGATGAGCGGTGGAAAACAGAGAAAATGGTAAGGGGACTAAGGCAGGAGCTGAGGGAGAAGGTAGCTCCACGACAACTTGAAAAGTTCAACCAGGCAGTGGAAGCCTGCCGGATTACTGAAAGTAGCCTGAACCACCAGGCGCTAGTCAGGGCTGCTCCTAGACCAGAAGGACCAGCAACAAGGAGCGGACCAGAGGGGACTTCTTTTGGAGGAAATAGGAAAAGGCGAAAGCCTATCTTTTCCAAGAAGTCTAAATGAGGAGGAGGAGTAAGGTAAGGAGGAAGCAGCACTACACGTCAGACCAAGGAATGTAGCACTTGTGGTAAAAACCACGGAGATCGACCCTGTTTGATGGGTCAAAATGTGTGCTTCCGATGTGGCAAGCCAGGACACTATATAAGGGAGTGCCCCCTTAATGTGGATGGCTCGAGGCCCCAAGCTCAAGGGAGGGTCTTTGCCCTCACAAAGGAAGAGGCTGATAAGTCACCTGAGATGATACAAGGTATGATTCAAGTTAATAATTACCTTGTGCATGCTATCTTTGACTCGGGTGCTAGCCACTCCTTTGTTTCATATGAATGCGTGAAGCGCATAGGCCTTGCTGTTAACACATTATTATATGATCTATGTGTGGCTACTCCTACGGGCACCAAAGTTTATACGTCTGATGTTTGCCTAAATTGTATTGTCCGGTATGGCCACTGTTGCACTACACTTGACCTAATATGTATGCCTTTTCATGAGATTGATGTGATACTTGGTCTGAATTGGCTGTCTACCCATAATATACTCCTTCACTGTAAGAATAAGACTTTGATTTTTCCTCCCCATGAGCTAACCCCTCATACCGAGGTGAAACTGAACTTGATTACGGGAGCCCAAGCTGGAGATTGCCTAAGACATGGCTGTCAGGGGTACGTGGTATTCTTCTCTGTACATATAGAAGTGGAAGAAGGCATATCAGAGATACTCGTGGTATGCGATTTTTTGGAAGTCTTTCCGACAGAAATTAGCGGGTTACCTCCGGAGCGAGAGGTAGAGTTTGCAATTGACCTAGTACCTGGGGCAGGGCCAATTTCCAAAGCCCCATATCGTATGGCTCCAAATGAAATGGCAGAGTTAAAGAAGCAATTAGAGGAACTATTAGAAAAGAATTTTATCCGGCCCAGTGTGTCACCATGGGGAGCACCCGTCTTATTCGTTCGTAAGAAGGACGGTAGCCTAAGGTTATGCATTGATTACCGGGAGCTCAACAAAGTGACGATTAAAAACAAGTACCCACTACCTAGAATAGACGATTTGCTAGACCAATTAGCTGGTGCCACAGTGTTCTCCAAGATTGACTTGAGATCAGGTTACCACCAACTGAGGATTAAAGCAGAGGACATTCCGAAGACCGCTTTTCAAACACGGTATGGGCACTACGAGTTCTTGGTAATGCCCTTTGGACTAACGAATGCCCTGCGATTTTCATGAATTACATGAACAGGATCTTTCAGCCATATTTAGATCAGTTTGTGGTGGTTTTCATTGATGATATCTTAGTATATTCCAAGTCACCAGCGGAGCACGAACAGCATTTACGGATTGTTCTAAGTATTTTAAAGGAGAAACGGCTATATGCCAAACTCAGCAAGTGCGAGTTTTTGCTGAATGAAGTAAAGTTCTTGGGTCATGTGATTACCCAAGATGGAGTAGCAGTAGATCCCAGTAAGGTGGAAGCAGTTTTGAGTTGGGAGCAACCAAAAACAGTAACAGAAATACGAAGCTTTCTGGGATTGGCAGGTTACTATAGAAGATTTATTAAAGATTTTTCGAGAATTGCACAGCCCCTAACTAAACTTACACGTAAGAACTAGCAATTCGTGTGGGATGATAAATGTGAGGCTAGCTTCCAAGAGCTGAAACGGAGGTTGACCTTGACCCCTGTGCTAATAATTCCCGATCCAACCCTACCGTATGTTGTATATACTGATGCTAGCAAGCAAGGATTGGGGTGTGTATTAATGCAACAAGGACGAGTAGTCGCCTATGCCTCACGACAGTTAAAGTCTCATGAAGAGAATTATCCTACTCACGACTTAGAATTAGCTGCAATAGTTTATGCCTTAAAAATCTGGAGGCATTATCTATATGGGGCAACCCTTGAACTATATTGTGACCACAAAAGTCTTAAGTACCTGCAAGATCAAAAAGAAGTAAACATGAGACAACGGCGATGGATGGAGTTGCTCAAGGATTATGACTACCAGATAAAATACCATCCGGGCAAGGCTAATGTGGTAGCTGACGCCTTAAGCCGAAAGGTAGTACAAGTAGCATTCCTAATGATTCAGGAATGGAAACTCATCGAAGATGTGAGAGATTGGGAACCTTTGTCCCATATGAAACTAATGACTTAGAAAGTAGAGGTGATGAGAGCAGGAGCCCAGCTGATAGAACAAATCAAAGAGGCCTAGAAAAATGATCCGGTAGCTGATACACTTCGGATTAAGCTAACAAAAGCTGAGGATGATCCGATCAAGGCGTCACCAGATGGAATATTGAAGTATAAGGAACGGGTATATGTTCTGGAGTCCATCAGGCAACAACTATTGGAGGAAGCACATAAGAGCAAATATACGATACATCCGGGAATGACGAAGATGTACCAAGACCTCCGACGTATATTTTGGTGGCCTGGCATGAAGAAGGACATAACAAAGTATGTATCTAAATGCCTCACTTGCCAGAAGGTCAAAACGGAGCATCAGAGACCATCAGGGCTTTTACATCCTCTAAATATTCCAGAATGGAAATGGGATAGTATCTCGATGGATTTTATCATGGGGTTACCCCATACCTCATCTGGATATGACGCGATATGGGTGATTATTGATCGATTAACGAAGTCTGCCCATTTTCTGGCAATGAAGAAAGACTACCAACCAGAAAAACTTGCCAAGTTATATATAAAAGAAATTGTGAGATTACATGGAGTGCCAGAGTCGATTGTATTTGACCAAGATCCTCAGTTTCTATCCCGATTCTGGAAGGCACTGCAGCAAGCAATGAGCACCAAGCTGAGTTTCAGTATAGCGTATCACCCACAGACAAACGGTCAAACAGAGCGAACCATACAGACACCGGAAGATATGTTGAGAGCCTGTGTATTGGATTTCAAAGGTAACCGGGATGACTATCTGCCATTAGTAGAATTTGCTTATAATAACAGTTATCACTCCAGTATACAAATGGCTCTGTATGAAGCTTTGTATGGTCGCAAGTGTAGATCCCCACTGTGTTGGACAGAATTAGGGGAGCAAAAGCTATATGGGCCAGACCTAGACGAGCAAACAACTGAAAGGATAAGGTCGATTAGACAGAAACTGCTCACGGCCCAAAGCAGACAAAAAAGTTATGCGGACGTTCGGCAAAAGCCTTTGACCATCGATATAGGAGACCATGTGTTCTTGAAAGTGTCTCCGACAACGGGAGTAGGAAGGTCTTTGAAATTGAAGAAATTGTCACCAAAATACATCGGACCTTTCCAGATTCTATCGAAAGTAGGACCGGTGGCATATAAATTAGCCCTACCCCCAAGTCTTAGTCAGATACATGATGTCTTCCATGTATCCCAGTTAAAGAATTATCAGCCAGATCCCTCTCATGTTTTAGAATATGAAGATATCACACTGCGAGATGACCTAACTTGGGAGATCAAACCAGTAAAGATCTTTGATCGTCAAGTAAAACAGCTGCGGTGAAAATCTATCCCAATGGTTAAAGTCATCTGGGAGAATCTGGCACAAGAAGAAGCAACATGGGAGAGGGAAGACGACATGAAAGATAATTATCCCGAGCTCTTGAAATAAGGTACATTTTAAATTTCGAGGACGAAATTTATTTTAAGGGGAAGGGAAATGTAACATCCCAAAATTTAGAACCCTAATAATGAGAGTGTGCAAAATGAGATATGATTGATAAGCATAAGGTATGAGTAAAACATGAAAACCCAAAATGGGACGAAACCGACTTTATCGGGTCCCTAGGGGCAAAACGGTAATTTTAGAAAAAGTTTCCAAAAATTACTTAAAAATAGAAAAAATGGAAATAGAGGTTTTTGAGTCACACATGATGTTTTGGGAGTGAGAATAGCCCAAAATAAATTTTGGTGAAAATTCCCAAAAAATTAATTATTTTTGGGAAAATAGGGAAAAATAAAGGGAAATTAAAGTAATAAAATTATTTTAATTACCTAAGGACTCCAAAAATCCAAGGAAAAATATGGATACACTCCCTAGGAATATATATGAATTTATAAAATTGTTTCCAAGCATTGAAAATACAGGAAATACTTTATGGGGAATTTATTTCCAATTCCTATCGGTAAGGACCCGATTTCGGAGAAAATGTGAAATAAATATCTAGAGGTCTTGAAAAATTCCCAAAACTTCCAGATCACACTCTTGGAATAAATAGGAATTATCATGAAAAGAAATGGAATTTTTGAAGCCCCTAGCTATTTTTCCTAGTAGAGGGCAAGAAATCGGGTATTGTGACCGAATGAATTTTTAAATTACCCTAACTAATTCCATTGCTTCCTAACCAGTTTTTACCATTTAGTTAGCATCCAACAAGGCCCAAATTCGTGCTCACCATGATCAGAACAGCTGGCTTGTGTGCTGGGCAAATTTTCAACCATTGGATCAACTCTCTTGGAAAGTGAGTCAAAGCATGTGTGGCTAGGATTTGTTCTTCATTTTGGCCGACCTTTGCACTTATTTTGGGGCAGAAATAGCTGCCCAAGGGCAGGTTTTTGGGCAGCAAATGAGCTCTATAAATACCCCCACAAGGCACTCAAAATTCGGACAAAATTGGGACAATAGAGGGGAGGTTCTGCACAATTTTCTTCTTGGCTTCCAAACACTCCTCAAATCACCTCCAATCCAAGGTTAATCATCAAGCTTTAATCCAAGACTCCTTGAGGTATGTTTAGGCTTTAATTTGATGCTTTTTCCATGGTCAAACCGTGACTTAATTTGAGGGGGAAGTGCTGTTTCATTTCTGTTGTGCTGGAAGTGCTAGGAAAGGATAGGAAATTGAGTATGAGTTGTGTTGTTGATGTTTGGTGCGGTTTTGAATGGGTTATGGAAGAAATTACCCTATGAACTATGACTTTTCAGTTCAGCCAACTCAAGAACTCAAGGGTAGGAATTGTTTCAATAAGTTTTAATGGTCCCAATGGATTTAAAATGTGATGGTATGTAGGATTATGC